CCCTCCGTATGTGCCAAACAGTCGGTGGCTGGCGGTTCGGAGTCCCGTTTGCACTCTTATAGGGGCCTGCGTGCTTAGCAGCCCCCTTGCAGTCAATGAAGGCAACGTTCCGGGCGTGGGTTTTGGGACCTTGTACTCAAGTTACGAGGGACTCTCTGCACACGCTTTGGGTGGTTTCCAGTTTGCGAGAGACGGGCGAGTCGTTCTTTGGTGGTCGAGCGAACATTTTTGCGGCGCCGTTCGGGTCCATGGTCGTCTCTATCGGAGGGCTTATTTCACGATAGCTCAGTCGTCGCTGGTGGCGGTCACGGTTGTCGTGGCTTTCCTATGTTGTGGTGCCGGGTTGTGGATCGTTGCCTTCACCCTCGCTCATTGTCTTGCGATGATTGGCGCCTGATCGCCGACGGCGGTCCGGTTGGCGGTCATTTGCAGGGTATGGAGGTGGAGGTGCCCGTCTCTGACTCTCAGCTTCGGCACAATCATCCCGTAGGTTTCGGGGAGAGCGGTTGCGGCTTTGTTGTGGTGTCGTCTTCGTGTCCGCACTCACAACGACGCGTTTCGTTTGTGTTGAGGGGGTGTCACGACTTGGTGAGGACGCTCTGCGCTCTTCGCCACCCGAGCGGCGTCATTGAGCGGTGGCGCAGGTGGCCTCGGCCCTGCACCCGCTGCTTACCGTATGCGAGGGCGGAGACTTGTGGGATGCGTGATGCACCCTCCGACGACGTCGTGAGGTTGGGCCCGTCATCCGCCCGACTTGTTGGAATGCGCCCTTGTGCCCGTCGCGTCCCCCATCCTATGGTCTTGGTATGCTGCACACTGTGACGGATCGCGTTGCGTTATGGTTTCGCTGCGTTTAGGTTGTGGGCTTTGAAGGCTATTGTCCTCTCTCTCCTTGGTTTCGCCTGCGTTGAGTTTTGTTCGCGGTGCCCGCGGCAACAAGTGCATGTGGATCCTGGGGGGAGGGGGTGTGTTCCTTTTGCGCCCCCGTGCACAGGTGGAGGTTTTCCGTCCGTCCGGGCGTGCTCGAAGCGTGGTGCATTCGTTTCTTCCTTCACCCGCGTTTCTCGATGGATAGATGAGGTTGTGCACTTCGTTGTCGGTACGTTTTGGGCGGGCGGTGGCATCCAGTTGTGGGCCAAAGCAGTCGGTGGTTCCTTCGCGCGCGCCGTTGTTCGGATAGTGTGGTTATCTTGCGATCCCAGGGTGTGGTGTGGGCGGGTGTTGTTCGCAGCCAATCTTGTGAGCGGGTGCGGCGGGCTGTGTTGGATTGTGCGGTACCTTGTCGTTGGAGATGGCCTATGGAGGGGAAGTTCACCTGCAATTCAAACAGTCGGACTTCGAGGCATCTCGGCAACTCATTGCACGTTCCACGATTGCTCGACGTTCTTTTGGTAGGCTGGTCGGCGTGACGTSCCTACGTGCRCCTCGGCCATCGCTCCTTGCGGCTGCTCGTTACACCCGCTACCTGGTTGATCCTGCCAGTAGTCATATGCTTGTCTCAAAGACTAAGCCATGCACGTCTAAGTGTGAACACTTTGCATTGATGACAGCGCCGGTATGGTTGTTGTCCGATTCTCTCGGCAGAGAACTTGTGGTGCAGCATTGGGAACATTGGCTCACAGCGTGGCATGAACCAACACCGTTTCTGGAACACCTTCACCAGGGTGTTTAGGTTTTGGCTGCAAACATGAAGAGAAGGGCCAAGGTGTCCAGGCATGCGCATGACCGAACAGGTCAGGAGTATCTCCGCCGAATGGAAGCATTGGGGGAAGTGTCGCCGGCAGGATCTGAGGATGACTGGTGGGCGGAATGGGTACAGTTACAGTCGGAATTGTGGGGTCTCAGCTCCAAATCTAAGTGGGTACGAGATGCTGAACGAATGTCCAGGGCCTTTTTCGCCCAGATGAAGAATTTTTCTCACTCTTCGTTGATTGTGTCAATGGGACATCCCTTTGACCCGCTTGAGCCGAAGGCGGATAGCACTCCAGACATCCTCAAATATGTGGAATTGTTCTATGGGGATCTGTATCGTGAGGATGAGAATTGGTCCACCGAGGACATGACTTTTCTGCCGATGAATGATGTATGGGCTAAGTGTGCTACTTTTGTTTCGCCAGACCATAGGGCTGCCCTAGATGCACCTATCACCCAAGACGAAATAGCGGGGGCGCTGTCTGGGATGCATAAGGGTAAGGCACCGGGTCCAGATGGGTTGCCAGCTGAATTTCTGATGGTCGCAACGCGGACCCTCCTTCCTTATTTGTGTATTGCGTTTAATCGTCTGTTTTCAGGGGAGGAAGCACCTTCGGCTAACTTCGGCTAGGCTACGAGTATTCTTTTATACAAGAAAGGAAGTGTAGAGGAGGTCAGGAATTAGAGGCTTATTTCCCTATTATCAACACCTTACAAAGTGTATGCGAAAGTGTTGGGTAATAGGATTGCTCTTGTGTTGCCCATTCTTATTCATCCTACGCAGACGGGCTTTGTGGTTCGAAGGCAGATTCTTGTGAATGTCCTCCTTGTCCGGCAAATTATGGAGAAGGCTCGGTGTTCTCAGCCCCCCTTGGCTACCTTGGTTTTGGATTTTGAAAAGGGCTACGATAGGGTCAGATGGCCCTTCCTTCTGCAAGGCATGAGATGTAGAGGGTTGGGGGAGGGTTTTGTCAGGGCAATTGAAGGGGTGTTGGGGATGGCTGAAGCTAGAGTTCAGATTAATGATTTGTTATCTTCCCCCCTGAAAATTACACTCTCTATACGACAGGGCTGCCCACTCTCTCCTGCTTTATACATTTTATACGTCGAACATTTGCATGAGATGATCCGGGTGAATGAGCAGATCCTAGGTTTTGAGTTGTCGGGGGGGGCACAGGTAAAGTCTAATGCGTTTGCTGATGATACTGCGGCAGTGTCCCGGCCGACGCATGAGAGCGTTTCGGCCTTGCGCAATGAAGTATCTCTTTTTGAGAAGTATGCAGGTGCACGGGTGAATTGGTGGAAATTTGTGGCAGTGGTCCCGGATGGGGTTGATATCACAATGTTTCAGGGCATGAGGACCTAGTCAACTGAAGAGCAGTTTCTATATCTCGGTATTCAGATCCCGGCGGCGTTGTCATCAGGATATCAGCTGGACGATCAGCTCCATCACGCAATGACACGTATGTCGGCCTGGGCCAAACACGCGTCCCATGGAGTGTTTGGTAAGGTCCTCATTGCCAATAATGCGGTGTCCGCGACACTGTGGTATGCAGGCGCAGTTTCGGATCCTCCTAAAAGGGAGTGGAAAGGCTATAAGGGCGCCCTTGGAAAGTTTTTGTAGAAAGACGATCCCTGCACCTCGCAGCTCATTTACAAGGTACGTTGGGAGAAGTTGGTACAGTCGAGATCGATCGGGGGTCTGGGGTTGTTAGACCCTCGAGTGCAGGTTGCCGCCTTATAAATGCGTTCCGTCTTGTGGCTCCTTTTGGAAAATGATATGGAGCCTTGGAAGATAGTCACGTTTCAAGAGATGGCGGATGCTATCAAGGTTCATCCGGCGGATGTCGAAACGATCCTCCTTCACCCTCAACTTTTGCATGACCTTCGCCGAGGAGCATTGTGGTCATGTGCCCTGGAGAAATGGCGTGAGGCTCCTCTGCGGCAGTCTGCCCCGCGAACATGTGATCAGATCCTTGGGCAGTCTTTGTTTGGAAATCGATTCATATTGCAGATGGGGGCCCCGTTTCCATGGCAGGGTTGCTTGGGCGCTTTTAGGAGGCAGTGGTTGGAGTGTGGGGTGCATCGGATTGTTGACATTTGGAACGTGCAGGAGGGCATATGGAGGGAGGAGAGTGAGGTGTTGCGGCGTTTGGACCACCAACCAAAGAAGAAGGAAAGGCTGGAGGCGATCAAGCAGGCGATTTCGTAGGATTGGATTGACTGTCTCATGACCAAAGACCATATGCAAGGGGGGTGGGTTACTTTGGAAGGTCAGGACCGGCCGGTTGTTTTTTTTCAATGAAAAGAGAAACTGGGGACCCAGTGGTATGCGGCGGAGGCCTGGGAAGATGTTGGCCCGCAAAAGACGTTGGGGGAGGTTCTTGTTCGGCGTCCGGATCGGGATGGCAGGGTCCATGAACACAACATAAGGTCGGTTGTGGTGGTAAGGGATCAATCAGTTTCTACGCGGGGGGGCTCTCGCCCCTTTAAGCCTGCTTTTAAGCCACTCCAACTCCCTTGGGACCCCTCGGCGTGGGAATGGGCGCCCAAAAATTATCTCAGGAAGAGCTGCAGAATTCATCAGGTGTCTACAAATGTGATCTACAGGTCCTTGCTCGTCCCAACAGATATGGTTGATGAAATGCGGGGGAGGTGGGTGAAAAGGGGATGGTTGGATCAGAAGGCTCTTCATTCCTGGGACGCGCCCACATGGCAAAAAGCCTGTAAGGTGCTGACTTTCCTCCCGGACCAAAAACATGCGGGAGGTTTATGGCTTTGTCTTCAGCTGGCGCAGCCCACCTATGAATGGTTGGCGGATAGGTGCTCGCACAAGAATAGGGCATATAGGTGTTGTATGAATGAGGAATCCTTGCCTCACATATGGATGGAGTGCTCGCCGCAAAAATTTTTTTGGGAATGGTGGGATTCCTTGGGGGATGCGGTCCCTCTTTCTGGGGCTCGAGGAAGGGGGGCCTCTGTTCTAGTGTTGGTGTTATTGCCAGGCGATGTTATAGGGGTGTGCGAGGCCTATGCGGCTGATGTAGTTCGGACGGCCTTTTGGGCTGCAGCATGGGCCATGCGGGCCCGCCTGTTGCGGGACGGGGTGCCTCCATCTTTCCCGACATTACGGGCATGGATGGTATGAAATTTAAGGACGGCGGTCTCTGCAGATGTGTCCAAAAGGCGAAAGGGTGGTTGGTCTTTCTTCGTCAAAGCTTGGAGACCGTATTGTGGGATTGTTACAGTAGGGGATCAGATTGGGGAGTGGTCGTGGGTGCTTACGTGGGAAGAAGGAGATTAGTTTTTTAGCCGTCAAGGGGGTATTGGGATGGGCGGGTTTTACGGGTGGGGTTGGGTCCTGGGGGATGGGTTATTTTGGGTAGAAGTTGTTTATGCATATCAAGTAATCTCGGAGTAAAGACAGTGTGGTTGTTCGAAAAAAACAAGTGATTCTTAGACAAGCAACAACAGTGATTCACAGGAAATTTGGTGATTAAAAAGACAACAGGTTAAGATAGGTGTTATCATTAGGGGGGTGTGAGGTATGAAGGAGAGGTCCTAGCATTACTCTCTACCTTAGTGGTGCTTTCATGACTGGGTGCGGTTTTGCCTCCCGGTGGGAGCTCTAAGAGGGTTAGAAGGTTGTGAGTTCGCCGACTCCTTTCTGTTGCCGCGGCCTTCCAGGTCACCTTCTTCCTTTTGAGGGGGGCTTGGGGGGATACCCCCTTCCTCTTTGCCTTCTGTTTCATTTCTCTCTTCCGCATCTTTGTCCTTCTGCTTGCCGGTGATTAGCAACCGGACTGATGCCCCCCATAATAGATGGGGTTGTGTGTGTGTTTGGAAAAGGAAACTGCGAATGGCTCATTAAATCAGTTCTCATTTATTTGGTGGTCTCCTTACCACTCGGATAACCGTGGTAATTCTAGAGCYAATACGTGCAGCATATCCCGACTTCTGGAAGGGATGTATTTATTGGATAAAAGGYCGATCCGGGCTTGCCCGTTGTTGCGGCGAATCATGGTGACTTGTCGAATCGCATGGCCTTTGAGCCGGAGATGATCCATTCAAGTTTCTGCCCTATTAACTTTCGATGGTAGGAAAGAGGCCTAACATGGTGGTAACGGTGACGGAGAATTAGGGTTCGATTCCGGAGAGAGAACCTGAGAGATGGCTCCAAGGAAGGCAGCAGGCGCGTAAATTATCCAATCCTGACATAGGGAGGTATTGACAATAAATAACAACGTTGGGCTCTTTCGAGTCCGGTAATTGGAATGAGAACAGTCGTAAACTCCTTGAACGAGGATCCATTGGAGGGCAAGTCTGGTGCCAGCAACCGCGGTAATTCCAACTCCAATAGCGTATATTTAAGTTGTTGCAGTTAAMAAGCTCGTAGTTGGATTTTGGGTAGGAGGGTTTGGTCCGCTCTTGCGGGCGTGTACCGGCCCTTTCGCCTTTCTTGCCGGGTATGCGTTCCTTGCCTTTATTGGCTGGGATCCAGAGCCGGCGCTGTTACTTTGAAAAAATTAGAGTGTTCAAAGCAGGTTTGTGCTCTGAACATATTAGCATGAAATAACGCGATAGGACTCTGGTCCTATTTCGCTGGTCTTCGGGATTGGAGTAATGATTAATAAAGACGGTTGGGGGCATTCGTATTCCATTGTCAGAGGTGAMATTCTTGGATTTATGGATGACGAACTTCTGCGAAAGCATTTGCCAAGGACGTTCTCATTAATCAAGAACGAAAGTTGGGGGATCGAAGACGATCAGATATCGTCCTAGTCTCAACCATAAACGATGCCGACTAGGGATTGGTGGATGTCTATTGGATGGCTCTGCCAGCACCTTGTGAGAAATCAAAGTTTACGGGTTCCGGGGGGAGTATGGTCGCAAGGCTGAAACTTAAAGGAATTGACGGAAGGGCACTACTAGGCGTGGAGCCGGCGGCTTAATTTGACTCAACACGGGGAAACTCACCAGGTCCAGACATAGCGAGGATTGACAGATTGAGAGCTCTTTCTTGATTCTATGGGTGGTGGTGCATGGCCGTTCTTAGTTGGTGGAGTGATTTGTTTGGTTAATTCCGTTAACGAACGAGACCTCAGTCTGCTAAATAGGTACGCGGGGACCTTTCCTCGTTGCCAACTTCTGAGAGGGACTGTTGGACGACTAGCCAACGGAAGTTTGAGGCAATAACAGGTCTGTGATGCCCTTAGATGTTCTGGGCCGCACGCGCGCTACACTGATGAATCCAACGAGTCGCTTGCCTGAGTCGAAAGGCCCGAGTAACCTTCTTAAGGTTCATCGTGACGGGGATAGATTGTTGTAATTATCGATCTTGAACGAGGAATGACTAGTAAGTGCGAGTCATCAACGCGCGCTGATTACGTCCCTGCCCTTTGTACACACCGCTCGTCGCTCCTACCGATTGAATGGTCCGGTGAAGGTTTGGATTGCGGTGATCTCGGCGGTTTTGTAGGTGGGGGTGCTGTTAGAAGTTCATTGAACCTTATCATTTAGAAGAAGGATAAGTCGTAACAAGGTTTCCGTAGGTGAACCTGCGGAAAAATCATTGACACGTGAACGACCGATCTTCTTGGTGTGGGACGCTGGTTTGCTCGCCCTTTGCCCCCATCCTCCATGCATCCGCTTTTCTCTTCCGTTTCAGCACCACCTTGGGCTTAGTGCCCAGCTGGCGGCTGGCCCGGCGCAATGGGGGGCGTGGTGTAGATCGAGGGTGGGGGGAGTGGGTAGGTTTCGGGGCCTTGTGGCGTTGCTCCCCCTTCATCCCGTCTCGCCTCCGCAGGTTGTTACCTCGGCCCAACCCCACTCTCGACTTCTGGTCGGGATGGCGGTTGGTCCGGGCACGGACAGCCCTGAGGGAGGGTCAGGGGCGGGATGTCGGGTGGTGGCGGCTGTCCTCGGCCTGCGTACCCCCGCTCCTTCCCATCTCAGCTTTGTCCAGACCTCCTTTCCATCCCCGCCTCAACCTCGGCTTCTTGCGGAGCTTGTGGCTTGTTTGGGGATCGAGGGTCGTGGTAGAGGCTAGGGGCGGGGTGTGTTGCGGGGTCCTCGGTCCCTCCCCGTTTCGTCCTGGCTTCCTTCCCAACGGGGTTCTCCTTTCCGGACAGATCGGCGTCCTCGACACAGTCGAGGTGGTCTGAATCKCGGGGTGGAGGGCCGTTGGGGGAGGGTTTTGGTCGTGAACGGAGTGGTGTCGGGTGGGGGGGGGAGGAGACGGCGCTTGCACCCTCGTTGCCCCGCTGCTCCCCGGTGCCTTGCCTGGCCCCCCGAACGGGGGTCGGACGGGCCCGTGGCAGCGGCTTTGCAAGTTCTTATTGATGTACCTGTTCTGATTCGTCGCTGTCCGGGTTGACGCCCCCCTTCTGTTCTGGTTGAGGGGTCGGTCCTGTCGGAACGGCACCATATTGTAGAACTCTCGGCAAACGAATATCTTGGCCCTCGCAACGATGAAGAGCGTAGCGAAATGCGATACTGAATGTGAATTGCAGAAATCCGTGAGCCATAGATACCTTGAACGCACGTGGCGCCCAAGGCTTCTGCCGAGGGCATGCCCGCCTGAGCATCATTGGATTCCTCACGAGCTCACCACCTTCCGTTTGGGAGAGTGGTGGGGTCCGTGGTAGTGGCTTCCCTCGCTTCCCACTTGGAGAGCGTCCCTCGCTTCCCACTTGGAGAGCGTCTATAGCCTAAAGTGGAAGGGAATCGGAGAGCATACCGAGCGGGCCTGTGGGGGCCGCAGCCCAGAGTGGTGCGTTTCGCTCCGCCCTGTTGTTGCCCTCCAGCACCCGTTTGTGGGTGGTGGTCTTCGTTTCCCTGAAAACGGCACGTAAGGTCATCCCTCCGGTTTTTGTGGTCGCCGCCTTCCGTTCGCTCCCATCCGCTGGAGGTGGGCTTGCGGTTGGGGGTGTCGGCCTTTTGATCTCAGGTCAGGCGGGATTAACATGGTTGTTATCGTGAGAGAGAGAGAGAGAGAGAGAGAGAGAGAGAGAGGGAATTGGATCGTTTCTCGTCTGCTAACGGGCGGTCGAATCTATGTGTCATCCAGCCAGCAAGCCAGGCAGCTGCTACATAAAAAACCTGTGGAAGCCATCATTTATAGACATGACAAGAGGCCAAAACGACTCTATTTACGTGTATATTTTGTGCGGTTAGAGATAGTTCATCGATGGCAAAGAGCAATCAGGCGCGTTCGACGGAAAAAGCGACAGCCGTCGGCGGTTCATCTCGCCGAAGACCCGGCAACTACGGCGGCGGTGCGAATTCCGACCCCGCCCCGCCTCCTCCTCCGGTTGTGGAAGGTATCATCCCTCTCTATGTCTCCGTCGATCTGGCAGACACGGAGTTTCGGGAGACCTTCTTGTGGAAACAAGAGAACCGTGAAGAGAGCGCCAGTCTCCCGCCATTGATCTCGCGCCAGCTTTGTCGAGAGATGGGTCTTCCTGTTTCGTACGAACGTCTGATCGAAGCTCAGATAAGGGCCGGGCTGAAGAAATTCGCGGGAAAGGAAGATTTTGGGGGGGAAGCGTTGGTCACACTCGACCTCTCAGTTGAATTTGGCAACGAGATATATAAAGATAAGGTGCAGTGGGATCTGAACGAGTCGCAGAATTCTCCGGAGATGTTCGCGTGGCAGGTTTGCGAAGACCTGCGGCTGAAAGTCGACTTCATGGAACCCATAGCCGTCACAGTCAGGGAGCAGATAGAGCAGCATCGCCAGCGATTACTGAAGGACTGGTCGGCGGGTTTGGCGATGACCGGTCCGTCTACGTCTCCTCGGGGTATGGCAACCTGTCTTTCTTCGCCTCTGCCTGACGCGGGGAGAGTCGAGAGGACGTTGGCAGACAGAGAAGTGTGGGGTCCAGAGCTATGGCGGATGGAATGACGTCATCATGAAAGAATACTGAATCGACGGCGGAAGGGAAGTAGCGAAGGGGACGAGGCAACGGAAAGGTAAACGTGAGAGAGATAATTAACAGAAAGAAAAACAACCGTTAGCGATCCGGAGTTTTAGCGGATGGAATTATGATGTAAATGAACGAGAAATCCGGGCGAAAGAGTTTAGGGGAACGAAAAGATTTGTGTGTGTGTGTGTGTGTGTGTGTGTGTGTGAGAGAGAGAGAGAGAGAGAGAGAGAGAGAGAGAGAGAGAGAGAGGGGGGGGGGGGGGGGGGGGGGGGGGGGGGGGGGGGGGGGGGGGTAGGGCGATAGCAGGTGGGAGGACGATGTGAAAACTCGCAAGCTAAGGTTCAGCCATGAAGGCTGGAAGTATCGAGTGAAAGAACTCTGCAAGGGGTGGCTTTGATCTGTGGCTGCCCGTGCCGCACGAAGAGAATAGGTAGGTCGCTGCCTCTCTGCCGTCAGGTAGGTACTACACCATCCCAAAGGGGCTTTGCACGGGTCTGTGTCGATTTTACAGGTTTATCCTCCTCAGTGGCGTAGTAATCATGCAGCTGTAGAGAACCTTGGGAGAGAGGAGGGAGTGGGTGTGGTGAGGTCTGGAGCTATGTATGGCACATGTATTTCTGACGTGTTAGACTTAAAGCTCTCTCCTTTTAGACGTGTCAGAACAACGGACGGTCATTATAGCCGTATTCGGGGTCATGTTCAGTCTAATAGATACAGCGATAATGAGTGCGCGTTCTATTTGGGGAACGACAGCTGGGGCGGCTATGGAGGCTTTGGAGGCGGGAAGAACGGAGCGATGGACGGCATAGAGACAACCGTTTTCCCCCGAATAGAGCTTACGGCCGTTATCGCCTGTACTTACGCGGGAAGTTGCCCCAAATACAGCTGTAATGACCGTGCGTTCTATTCGAGGGAAGACGGAACTGTGGAGGTCGCGAGCTTTTGCGCATCTGGAAGAGCGATTCAATAAGGAAACCGACAGGGGGGTTGATTTTGTCGGGAAGAACGAGAAAGGGGCTCCTTGTCGAGTCCAACAGGGGTTGATTTTGTCGGGAAGAACGAAAAAGGCGCCAAGGCGCGGCCGCATAGAGGTGGGAGGAACGGCATAAAGGCTACAATGGCGGCGTTCGCGGCTTTCGCAAGGTGGATTGACAGATGGCGGGAAGAATGAAAGGGGGCTTGTTTTCGTTAGAGAGAACTTCAGAACATGGAGGGGCGGCATCTAGAAAGCCAAGCTGATGCTCTGCTCGCATGGTTAATCAACGCTGGCGGGAAGAAAGAAAAAAATGAGGGGGGCGTTCTCGCGTAGAGAAGTCCAGGCATTGGAGTTATGGCGGCCCATAGAGAGAAGGCAGGGGCAGCTCGAAAGTTGAACTGTAGTGTGCCGACAGCGGAAAAGATGTCGTAGTGGGGTGCTGCTACTGAAGTAGGGGGTCGATACCGGAAAGCCCACGTGGTGCAGAAGAAGAACGCGATGATGGGGATGATTTCCGTCCGGCCAGAGAAAGAGGGACAGAAGAAGTCTATAGCTTGAGTCGCAGACAGAAGAACACCATAGGTGCCAACTGTCAGACAGAACGAGGCACACTACACAGAGTCGCTGATGTTAATCGAAAGAAAAAGTTCCTCTGCAGAGGGAGGATTACGCTCATGGTCGGTATATGATGGGGACGACCAGGCAATCCCCGATGGATGGACGCTTGCTCGGTCTCGATCGGGATCTCGACGGTTGAGTGGTGATGAGAAGAGAACGCCAAATGAGAAGATCGACGAAAAAGGTTCGGGGGAAGGGAGGGACGGAGAGAGGAGGCAGTGAAGATGACCGGCGGCGGTTGGGATTCAGTTCATAGCCACGAGAGTTGGCATTTTGTATCATCATTAAGAAAAGTCGTCCCTCGATGTGTGCATGGAGGTGGCTATGGCTGGGAAGAAGAAGAAGACGAAGAAGAGTAAGAGTGCTGATGTTGTCTAACGGCGACCCATAGAGAAGAACATTTATCAGTTGAGATTGGGGGAGTGGGTCGAAAACGCCGGACGGCTACCATCTTGACCGGAAGAGAACGCCCGGTCATTACACTTGTATTTAGTGCAACTTTCAGACAGTATACAGCGATAATGACGGGGCGTTCTATTCGGGTGAAGTGCTTAAAGATCAGTATTGTTGCACGGCAGGGGAGATCAAATTTTTGATTTCATGTTGATTAGTGTATAGTGTCGAGCATGGTGTGCTGTTTTTTGGGAAAGGCCATAGTTATTTTGGCCATGTTCAGACTACCGGTAGGACTTTTTTCGACTGAGCTCTGAACGTGATTACAGTCAGATGAAAGCAAGATTCTCCTTCTCGGTTATCCCTCTTGCTCTCCACCATCCTTCCTATTGCTGCCCTTGTCTTCCTCTTCCACAAACGCAGTTCTACGTTCTTCTTTCCCTTCATCACCTTTGTTTGTCAGTATCCAATGTTTGGTGTTTGGCAACTGTTGCCACTTTCTTGTTGTTGTGTCC